TTTCTAGTTTTAGTAGAGACGGGGGTCTCGCTCTTGCTCAGGCTGGTCTCGAACTCCTGAGCTCAAATGATCCTCCTGCCTCAGCTTCCCAGAGTGCTAGGATTACAGGCGTGAGCCACTATGCCCGGCCTACATTTAAGTTTTTAATCCATCTTGAATTAGTTTTCGTGTATGATGAAAGATAGGGATCCAGTTTCATTCTTCTGCATATAGCTATCCAATTTTCCCAGCACCATTTATTGAACAGTGTGTCCTTTCCCCAGTGTATGTTTTTGTTTGCTTTGTCAAAGATCAGTTGGTTATAGGTGTATGGTTTTATTTCTGGGTTCTCTATTCTATTCTATAGATCTGTGTGTCTACTTTTATGCCAGGACCATGCTGTTTTGGTTATTATATGCTGGTGGTATAATTTGATGTCAGGTAATGTGATGCCTCTAGTTTTGTTCTTTTTGCTTAGGATTGCTTTGGCTATTTGGGCTCTTTTTTGGTTTCATATGAATTTTAGAATTGTTTTTTCTAATTTTGTGAAAAACGATGTTGGTATTTTAATAGGAATTAATTGCATGGAATCTGTAGATTGCTTTGGGCAGTATGGTCATTTTAATAATATTGAGACCAGGCACGGTGGCTCATGCCTGTAATCCTACCACTTTGGGAGGCTGAGGCAGGAGAATTGCTTGAGGCCAGGAGTTCAAGACCAACCTGGGCAACACAATAAGACCCCATCTCTACAAAAAATTAAAAAATCAGCCAGGCATGGTGGTGCCTGCCTATAGTCCCAAGCTACTTGGGAGACTGAGGCAGGAGGATCACTTGAGCCCAGGCATTTGAGGTTGTAGTGAGCTATAATCATGCCACCACACTCCAGCCTAGGTGTGAGTGTAAGACTGTCTAACAAAAAAAGAACGCCCAACAACAAGAACAAAAAAACTCCCAACAACAACAACAGTAAAGCTTAGGACCAGAAGGATTCACAGCTGAATTCTACCATTTGTACAAAGAAGAACTGGTGCCAATCCTACTGAAACTGTTCCAAAAGATCAAGAAGGAGGGAATCCTTCCTAACTCATTCTACAAAGGCAGTATCACCCTGATACCAAAGCCAGGACAGGATGCAACAAAAAAAGAAAACTACAGACTGATATCTCTGATGAACATAGATGCAAAAATCCTCAACAGTATATTAATACTAGCAAACCAAATCCAGCAGCACCTGGAAAGGATAATTCACCATGATCAAGTGGGTTTCTTTGTGGGAATTGCAAAGAGGTTCAACATACATAAGTCAATAAATGTGATTCACCACATAAACAGAATTAAAAACAAAAACCATATGATCATTTCCATGGCAAAAACATTAGATAAAATCCAGCTTCCCTTCATGATTAAAAGCCTGAAAACACTTGGCATAGACAAAACAAAACTCAAAATAATAGAAGTCATACACGACAGACCCACAGCCAACATAGTACTGAATGAGAAAAGTTGAAAGCATTTCCCCTAAGAACTGGAACAAGACAAGGATACCCACTTTCACCGTGTCTACTCAACATAGTGCCAGAAGTCCTAGCCAGAGCAATCAGACAAGAAAAAGAAACAAAGGGCATCCAAATTATACCTAGAAAACTCTAAGAACTTTTTATTACTGATTCAGTCTTGCTAATTGTTATATTTGGTCTATTCAGAAGTTTCATTTCTTCCTAGTTCAATCTTGGGAGATTGTATATTTTCAGGAATTCATCCATTTCCTCTAGGTTTTCTAGTTTGTAAGTGTATAGTTGTTCGTAATAGTCTCTGATGATCTTTTGTATTTCTGTAGTATTGTAATTTCTCCTTTTTCATTTCTAATTTTATTTGGATCTTCACTCTTCTTTTCTTGGTTCAGACTAATTCTTGAGGATGTTTTAGAACATTAGGAGGGGAAACTATGTAAGTTTTGTTATATTAAAATAGATGTATTGTGTTTAGAATTGATTACAGAGCACTTAGCACCTGATAATGGCATTTAGAAAGTGTTTCATTTAGATTCAAGTCATAGGGCTCAGAAAAATGTGATCATCTACCTTGTCTAGTTTAGTAAGGTAGAGCCAAAATAATGCACTGAAATCTAGGAAATCCTCTTTGTTTTAGGACTCATTTCCCTCTTATACTCAAGTTCACTTTATATCATCAATTTTTATCTTATTAATAGATTTATTCTAGGAGATACTATTTTTATACAAAAACTTTTCTACTTTCAGTTGGAAGCATGCTGATTAAATCCAGGAGAAATGACTTTTAGTCCACCATATATTCTTGGGCATGTTGTATTTAGGTTTTTCTGTTTATAAAGTGAACACTGTTGGTATTTTCATAATTTTAATTTTATATTTAGCAAACTGTCTGAAAATAATCTACCTTTTGACTCTTAAGTTGTTAAGCATATGGGCAAAATTTTAAGGGATTCTTTTG